AAATTTGCAAGCTTAATACCATTTTTTTCAAATATATTGCGTTAATAGCATCTCATATATAGCAGTTGTTCTAAAAGAGAATCTACAAGGGATTTCTCATGTGCATGATCAAGGCAAATGTATGTTCCTCATTTTAGCCGATTTTACGTTTAGCAATGTAAAAAGTATGTGGTATAAATTGCCTATTACCACTACCTAATGGGCCAACCGCAAGATTTCTGGAGAGACGTTTGGATTAAAGGACCACTATAGGCACCCAGACGACTTCAGCTTAATGAAGTGGTCTGGGTGCCAGGTCTATATAGGATTAACCCTGCCTGCTGTAAACATAGCAGTTTCAGAGAAACTGCTATGTTTACAAATGGGTTAATCCAGCCTCTAGTGGCTGTCTCATTGACAGCCGCTTGAGGCGCTTCCGCGCTTCTCACTGTGATTTTCACAGTGAGAAGACGCCAGCGTCCATAGGAAAGCATTGAAAATGCTTTCCTATGGACTGGCTGAATGTGCACGTGGCTCTTGCCGCGCATGCGCATTCAGCCGATGACGACCAAAGGAAGAGGAGAGTCCCCTACGCAGAGGGAGCCCGGTGCTGGAGAAAGGTGAGTGTTTAACCCCCTTCCTTCCCCTTCAGCCCGGCGGGAGGGAGGCCCTGAAGGTGGGGGCACCCTTAAGGGCACTATAGTGCCAGGAAAACAAGTTTGTTTTCCTGGCATTATAGTGGTCCTTTAATATTTATAGGAAATCATTTTTTAAAAGTAGATTCCAATAATATATTACTGTCCAGTACTACTTGAGCTTGATAAGGACAGTTTTAAAATAATGGGACTATGATCAGACCATGTAATTAGGCCCATATTTGCACCCTTCATGCTTTATAAGAACAGTTTTCTTTATACAGTGACCTGAATTTTTGGCTCTTTCTGTGTGCTTTACCTGGTCAGTATCTCCATCCAACAGGAAGAAGTCTAAAGAACAGTGAAGATCCATCATATTAAGAATTTTATTATTATCTTGTTTTTGTAACACTTTTTTTGTTTAGTCTGGTCATATTTGAATTACCTGCAGTTCCATAGGAGTGTGTTTGTAAAAGCTTTGCCTTACCAATAGCTTCATTCATATTTTGTCCTGTACAATTCCTGCCTGCCACCTCTCTGCTGCAGTACTGTGACAATTCTTCTAAACAACAAATATACAGTAACCCAAACACAGAACAGGTCCCTCAGTTAAGTTTATAATTCTTTCATTTTACAAAATTTAAATGTGATAATATTCACTCTGTTAAATTAGTAGGTGGCAGATTATATTTGTCTCTTTAAACATATTTCAAAAGATTTCATCATCTCAGAGCGTGTTAGTTTTTTTTCTGTTTGCTTAAGATATTTAGGGTAGAATTAATGCTTGGAAAAAAGTCATGTCCAGGCAGATCTTATCATGTATGAACATGTTTGATTGTTGTATTAAAGCGGCACTGTCATGCCGAACTTACCTTTCCTCAATCTCTTCCTCTTCTCTTTCTCTCTCAGGATCTGTTCTTCTTTTCTTCCTGTCTTCTTTAGTTTTCTTTAAAATCATAAGACAAAGTAGGGACTCTTTACCTTATGGAGAATTCCTCCGCTTGACCAGCTCTGACCAGCGGAGGAGCAAAGTGTGCTTCATTTCCGCTGGTCAGAGCAATTTTCCCAATTTTATCAAAAGAACTTTCCCACGCTGTGTAAAATGACACACAGCTCTGTGATTGGATGGCTTGAAATCCATCCAATCACAGTGCTCTGTCATTTTACACAGCGTGGGATTTCAAGCCATCCAATCACAGAGCTGTGTGTCATTTTACACAGCGTGGGAAAATTCAAAAGAACTTTCCCACGCTGTGTAAAATGACACAGAGCACTGTCATTGGATGGCTTTAAATCCATCCAATCACAGTGCTCTGTCATTTTACACAGCGTGGGAAAATTCCCAAGAACTTTCCCACGCTGTGTAAAATGACACAGAGCACTGTGATTGGATGGATTTCAAGCCATCCAATCACAGAGCTGTGTGTCATTTTACACAGCGTGGGAAAATTCAAAAGAACTTTCCCACGCTGTGTAAAATGACACAGAGCACTGTCATTGGATGGCTTGAAATCCATCCAATCACAGTGCTCTGTCATTTTACACAGCGTGGGAAAATTCCCAAGAGCTTTCCCACGCTGTGTAAAATGACACAGAGCACTGTAATTGGATGGATTTCAAGCCATCCAATCACAGAGCTGTGTGTCATTTTACACAGCGTGGGAAAATTCTTTTGAATTTTTCCACGCTGTGTAAAATGACAAAGAGCACTCTGATTGGCTTAAACCCACCAATCAGAGTGTTCTTAGACTAATTGCATGGGTGAAGATGGATTATTTTTTTGCGCTCGGGTTTTTTCTTTTTCGTCAGGTTTTTTTTTTTGCACTTGGGATTTTTATTTTATTTTAAGTTCGACGGTTATGATGGTTTTTTATTTGGCCTTTTTTGGGGCTGAAAAATGAAGATTTGAGAAAAAAGAAGACGTTGAATGGTAAGTTTAATTTTATTTTACAGGTTAGTTATTTTATTCCCCCCTCACTATTTTTTAGGGTGAGGGGGGTAGGTAGGGACTTTTTATTTGGGTGGGGGGGGTGGGTGACTAGGGGCTTGGGGACCCCTAGTCACCTCGGGGGGGGAATTGACTTAGGGCCCCCACTCGCCGCCCAGGAGTGGGGGCCGGGGGGAAGGACAGTAGATCCCCCCCCTCATTATCTTTATGGCCCACACCCGCCGCTCAGGGGTGGGTGCCGGAGGGGGGGTGGACAGTAGGTCCCCCCCCTCATTATCATTTGGCCCCCACCCGCCGCCCAGGGGTGGAGGCTTGAGGGGGGGTGGACAGTAGGTCCCCCCCTCATTATCATTATGGCCCCCACCCGCCGCCCAGGAGGGGGAGGAATGTAGGTCCCTCCCCCCTCATTATTAATATGGCCCCCACCCGCCGCCCAAGGGTGGGGGCTGAGGGGGGGGCAGTAGGTCCCCCCTCTCATTATCTTTATGGCCCCCACCTGCCGCCCAGGGGTGGAGGCTTGAGGGGGGTGGACAGTAGGTCCCCCCTCATTATCATTATAGCCCCCACCTGCCGCCCAGGGGTGGGGGTCAGGGGGAGGGAGGAATGTAGGTCCCTCCCCCTTCATTATCAATATGGCCCCCACCCGCCACCCAGGGGTGGGGGCCGAGGGGGGGGCAGTAGGTCCCCCCCTCATCATTATGGCCCCCACCCGCCGCCCAGGGGTGGGGGCCGGGGGGGGGCAGTAGGTCCCTCCCCCCTCATTATCAATATGGCCCCCACCCGCTGCCCAGGGGTGGGGGGGCAGTAGGTACCCCCCTCATCATTATGGCCCCCACCCACGGCCCAGGGGTGGGGGCCGGGGGGGGCAGTAGGTCCCCCCCCTCATTATGGTCCCCTCAGCCACAGGCTGCTCACTGCTTACTAGACATGCCCCTACTCGCGGTATAGCAAGTAGGGGCATTGGGGAGATTTTAATCTCCCTTATGCTATTATGGGGGTCATGTTGACCCCCATAGAGTGAGGGGGGGCCTGGGGGGCTTATGAAGTGGTGGGGAGCACTGCTCCCTGCCGCTTCTATAGTTACATATTACAAGGGGGGAGCTGCGTGCTGGCAGCTCCCTCCTTGTAATAAACTGAACGAACAAACAAACACTGATACTCAGATACTCAGTGTTTGTTTGTTCGGCTGATATTTCTATTCACTCATTCGTCTGTCTGATGAATGAATGAATGAATAGATGAAATTCCCGTTCGCATGTCTAGGTGTTTCACTGGGCATGTGCGGGAAGCTCACAGTCTGTCTAGTGTGGGCTGATGACGTGTCCCACAGGGACTTCATCTACCCACACAAAGATGGCGGCGCCCTGAATCAAGATCGGGGCAGAAAATAAAGATACAAAAATAGGTCATGTGGGGGGCTTAGGGGCATTTGGGGATGACTAGGGTGTCAGTTAGAGATAGTAGAGGCCAGAGGTGTGTTAAAAAAAAAAAAAAACAGGATTCGGCATGACAGTGCCGCTTTAAAGGGAAACATAAATCTGGTCTATATCTATATATGATGAACTTCAAGAAACAGTCCAGGCTGCCCCTAGTTTTAATACATTTTTTAGATAAAGCAAACAATTAAAATAAGCATGCTTAGCATTGAATTTGCTGCAGTTCCTATGAGTGTGTTTGTAAAGACGTCTATTGCCTTACCAAAAGCTTCGTTCATGTTTTCTTATGAATGAAGCCAAAGATAGCCTCGGTCTGCCTTTCATAAGGGAACATGTCAGAGGTAATGGAAGTGCATCAGACACCTTACTTATATGGACATAGGGAAGGGTTCTGCAATGTGCAGGCATACCACAAAATCAAACACAGAGAAACAGCAGTAGTACAAATCACTCCGTAGCACTGCTCTTGTGAAAATCTCCATCTTTTTAATTATTAGCTTCTGCAATGCAATTTTACTAGCCATGTTTACGTAAGAAAATTGACTTTATGTAGCAAAATGAATCACTATATATGTATACGCAGTTTGTTAATTAATACTACACTACACTGGAATGTGCTGAACTAGTCATATTTATGGAATTAAATTAAACGCAAGATGGCAAGAAAATTGTAATTAAACCGTGAACACAAATATTTATATAATCATCTGTACATATTTAATAGGCAACACATGGAAGATAAAACAATTTACAATATCCAAAGTGCAAAATCCATCTAAAAAGCTCATTTTGGAAGAGATTACAATTATAACAGTTCTTTAAGTTGTTGCCAAATAGTGATTTTACTGTTTCATCCAGTTGTTGGCAGTTGATTAATTGTAATCAGATGGCCAGTATTAAAGTTTTTTTTAATATAAGTTTTATTGTAGTAAGATTCAGAGATAAAGTACAGAGAGAAGTGAATCGAGGTGACTCGCAGGTCACTATGGCTGTATCTTTAGTGGTAATGGTTCTTAGAGCTTGACTGTCAAATTTAATAATAATTGCATTTGCACATTAAGAAGGAAAGGAACTTCTCAACTCCTTGAGCAGACATACGATACTACTGCACATACTCTCACCAGCTACTCTTGAGCAGGCCAGCAAGAGGAGTAAACCGGACGCTCCATGAAGACCAACGCTGTTCTTGAGTTCCTGATTTCCGAGTTCCAGTCTACGGTGTCCCAGTCTTCATGCTTTTCTTGTTATATTTCTGGGCTTGATGGTAGTGTTCTAGGAAAACTTTATCTTTGAACCATACTAATGATTACTGCCCCTACCTTGGAATATGTCGAGATTACTTGAAAATTTGGTTTGCTTTTCCTCTTTTTATCTCGACAGTCTTTTAGGTTTGAATGATTGTGTCTACTTGTTGCGAACCACTACTATTTATCCTAGAACTTGACTTGATTATTTATGACTCTTTTACTTTGTACTAAAAAAATAATAATTTATCAGACAATGGTTTAAGACAATTTTTTTATTACAATGGTTCCCCTTGTCCCCAGCAATCTTCTCTCCCCCCTTCCCTCCCCCCCCCCCAAACCTGGACCTAACAGCCTGAGATGGAGAAACTTTTTTTTATTCTCCCTCATGGCCTTTTTTACTAATGTTCTTTTTTTTACCCAAGTTTTTTATACCCTTTTTTTTATGTCCATCCATTTTCTTGAGATATGCAAAATATTTTACACAACACAATTTAATATTATACAACGCTTGATGGAATTAGCTCAGCACATCTTTTACCATTTAAACAAGCTCATACATTCAATACCATTGTTCATACATGTAAAAAACTTGTCTCTATTTTAACAATACTGTTGGACTTGCTTCTATCTTTCTTGGCGCGTGGGGGTTCAGACTCACATTATTACTTAATTTTTTTCTTTATTAATCATAATTTATGGAATAAATCATGGTTGTAAAAATTTTGTTGTTTAATGTGAGAGGCCTGAACACTGCGCACAAGATAAGATTACTATTCAAAGAAGCAAAGTCTAATGTCATTTTTGTACAGGAAACACACTTTAAAGACGGTAAAGACTATAAGCTTATATCGAGACTTTTCCCAACTCAATTTTATTGTGCTTATAAATCCAAGGTGCTTCAATTTTCTTCAACAGGAATGTGGCATGTTTAACCGACAAGGCACTAACAGACAACGAAGGGAGGTACTTATTATGGATGGGTAAAATCAATAATGTTGAGTATAGAATTGTGAATATGTATTTTCCCAACACCGGTCAATTAATTTTTTTTAGGAAAATGACGCATCTGGTGAATGAAAATATGAGAGGTATTTTGGTAATGTGTGGCGATACGAATTTTGTCATGGATGGAGAACTGGATAATGCTAGGGAAAATCCTGACCAATCCCATAGCGGATAAATGCTCAAAATACATGATTGAATGTGGTTTGTATGATCCTTGGAGATTGCTCCATGAGGGTGAAAGAGATTTTACTTTATATTCTGTGTCTAAAAATATGTACTCCAGGCTGGATAGGTTTATGATTCAAGTGCTTTAATCCCGTCTTGAAATCTGATATCTTAGATATTAATTGGTCCGACCATGCTCCAATCATAATGCATATAGACGAAATTATATCATCAGCCCCAAATAGAACATGGAAATTAGGTGAATATTCATTAAATGATGTTGAAAACAGATCGTTAGCAAAGAAAGTTTTGAGTGATTATTTTCTAGACCAGGGGTAGGCAACCTACGGCACTAGTGCCATGCCCTGCACTCGAGGTGACTTTGCACGGCACTCAAGGCTGTTCTATCAGGAGTCCCAGTGAAACTTCAGATATCTGCTAATACGAAGAGGTGGTGAAGGACAATCCTCAATTTATGCATTGCAGCACATAGACTTGTGAATGGGAATCCACACTGTAGTAGAGCAGCTTGCAGCTGCTGTTGCAGCTCCTATACTTGAGCTATACCTGGCCAGCCTGGTCCCCACTGGAACCTAGGGAAGCCACCCACACTGCTAGATATACACAGACCTGCAGAATAAGCCTCCCCTCATACAAATAATACGAACAGCCCATACACAAACATACACACAATCCCCACAAATGCAACACCACTAACTATCCACATACATGCACACAACCCCGCATGCAGCATCTCACATGCAATACCCCAAACAGCCCCCACACACTACCAAACACACAATGTGACATATCCATCCACACACACAATTACACAAGCAGCCCTCATACACAGCCCACATTTATAGGTATCGTACACGATTCCATGAACTACTAATGAACATATACAATATAATAGCTCCTATACGCACAAATACAAAGATACAAAGCAATTACAGTAAAAATAACACAAGCAGAATACGGCAGCATACACACCTCAATTTAAAAAAAATAGGACTGGCACGCTACAGGACATCACAATCCTATATCGGCACAGTGCTGCTAAAAGGTTCCCTACCCCTGTTCTAGACAATGCTTTATCTGAGGTTCCTGGTGAGGTGGCTTGGAATGCGCACAAGGCTGTGTTGCGAGGTCATTTTATCTTTAGAGCGTCTCACCTGAAGAGAATCAACAATAATTATCTGAGAACAATGGAAAAAGAACTATATAATCTGAATCAGGCAAACAAATTTGGCCCACCGGCTTCCCTATCAGCAATGATAGGAGAGATCAAGTCAAAAATCCATAAAATTAATTTAGACCGTACAGCTCTCAGGGTGAGACGTCTTAAGAAAAGTTTTATTTGAAAGGCAACAGGACCTCAACTCTTCTGGCGTCTAAACTACGGCATGTGAATGCCCAGTCAAAGATAGCATATTTATTAAACGACCAGGGACCAAAAATATTTAATCCAACCAAAATTAGTGATTTTTTTCGCAGAATACTACAGCAAACTTTACAATCTAGAATTGGATTCAGAACTTCCCCAACCTTCTGTAGTAACAATTAATAAATTTTTAGATAAAGTGACGTTGCTTCGGTTGTCTCCAGTTCATTTAAAAAGCTTAGAGTGCGACATATCAACTGAAGAGATAACTGAGGCATTCAAACTTATGCCATCTGGAAAGGCCCCTGGCCCTGATGGATTCACTATTTTATATTACAAAACCTTTCCAGAAACCTTAATTCCCCAAATGACGAAATTGTTCAACTCCTATAAGTCCGGAGGGAAGATGCCGGAGAAGTCCTTGTGCGCACAAATAGTCACCTTGCCAAAACCGGGAAAACCACCTGATAGTTGTCCTAATTTTAGGCCCATTTCTCTGATAAATAATGATTCAAAAATTTACTCTAAAGTTCTAGCGAACAGGTTAGCGAAATCAATCCCCTTATTAATTAATAATGTGTGGGTTTTGTACAGGGCAGACAGGTACCAGGTGGAACTAGGAGATTTATCAATTTGATCCAGCACATTAATTTGACCAAAACACCTTCTTTGCTTCTTTCACTGGATTCAGAAAAAGCATTTGATAGGATACATTGGGGGTACCTATGGAGAACATTAAGCAGATTTAATATCCCATTATCCTTTGTTAATGCAATTAAGGCGCTATACTGTGCCCCTATAGCTCATATTTCAGCTTCTGGGTTTAAATCCCAAACTTTTTCTCTCACTAATGGGACAAGGCATTTTTGTCTTAGCTATGGAACCCTTGGCTGAATTGATTAGAACGACATTAAGAGAAATTGAAGGAATAAACATCTACTCACAAAATTGGCTTATTTGCAGATGATATTATCTTGGCACTTAAAAATCTGGAAAAATCCTTAAAACATCTTAAAAATATTTTACTTCAGTTTGGAAAAGTATCATATTATAAATTAAATAAGTCCAAGACTCAGGCCCTCCCATTCCACATGAATCATTCAGAAGTCACCACCCTTAAGAGAACTTACTTATTCACTTGGAGAAATTAATATTTAGAAAACCAAGGCATTAATTTGTTGCAAACATTTAGTAAATATGCATACTCATAACTTAGGAAAGCATGGCCGGACCTGCAAAAAGAGATGGAGAGATGGATGGAACTCTCATGGCTAGGGAGAATAGCATTTATTAAAATGACAATTCTTCCAAAAATAGTGTATTATTTTAGGACTATACCTCTATCTATACCATTATCTTTTTTCAATAAAATACATTTGGTAATGTTAAAATTTATTTTGAGGAACAAACTTAGCAGGATGAAACTTACCGGATATCCGCAAATACTATTTTACGACTAATGCTGCAGTGGTCGTGAGTTTTAATAGTCAATCTAACAAGCCAAGATGGATGGAAATAGAAGAGTCAAAAATTCTCCCGTTTAAACTTACGGAATTATCCTGGCTATGTCCTGAAAAAAGACCTAGGCTCGCTAAACAATTTTTATCAACAAAAAACACTCTCAAGGCCAGGGACACCGTTTTTTAAAATAATAGCCACGTTGCGAGAGTGTATAGAGCAATGCCAATTGAATTGTTGAAAGACCATATACCTTTTTTGAATTTAGATTTATTGAACGAATACCCTATAACAAACAGTTTTTTTCATGGTAATGCCATTCTTTCATTTGAAAAATTAAAACTTAAACATGGATTTACGAATGATTGTAAAGAAGAATGCATGTTGATCATTGAAAAATGTAAAGAATTATATAACGTACCGGACACCGACAAAAATTGTAAATCACTAGAGATAACACCGATAGAAAAAATATTTTTACATGATCCAAATAGAAAGGGTACAATATCTTTGTGTTATTCACAATACAATGCCAAATCCATGGCTAAATTGAAACATATGGTATCCTGGGAGACAGAGCTGGGTACACAATACGAGCTTGAGGAATGGTTCAGTTTTTTAAAGCATTAAAAGGGATTTATTTTTGTACTGAGCATTTTGAAAACCACTACAAAATTTTGTATAGCTGGTATTTGCCTCGGTCTAGATTGCACAATATGAATAACAGGTATTATGACCGGTGTTGGAGGGACTGTGGGGGTTTGGGAAATATGGCCCATATGTGGTGTAATTGTCCCAAAATTGCAGGGTATTGGAGAATGATTCACGATTTAATTGTTAAAGTTTTAACCTCAGAGCTTGCATTATTTTAAAAATTCCCTGAGTCCGTAGGTAGAACTGATAGAATAATAATAGGCCATATCCTGTTTGCTGCTACCTCATGCTTGCCAAGGTATTGGAAGTCAAAAAACACACCATCATTTAGAGAAGTCCTGAACTTAATCCTAGATAAAAAAAAGCACACGTCTTGTCACATTCTTTCGCAAAACTAAAATGTGATTGGGATAGATGGGAAGAAGAAATTTCTGAACTGCATGGATGCAAGTCTGTGAGGCTCCTGTGTTTGGAGTAAAACGGAGCATAATCTAATCGGTCTGCAAAGCAAACATCACCATCCCTACAGCCGGGACATCACCATCCCTACAGCCGGGAAAGGTGCAACATGTCACAGAGACATAAATCTAAAACGGAAAGGGCATCATTCTTCCTCACAAAAACAGCCACACCGAAAGCGCGGGAAGGCCACAGCCCGATCAAAGATGGCGGCGAAACATAACACAAAGAGGAGTCAACCTCCCCCCCCCCCGGCCTCCCCCAGCTCAATGCGGAGGTGGACTACTCCTAGCTCTGGACACAGAGAAAGCGTTTGACCACCTCAGCTGGTCCTTCCTGAGACACGCTCTAGACAAATACGGAATACCACCACAGGTCACCACACAAATCTTTGCTCTATACTTGGCCCCAATGGCCCAAGTGATACAGGCAGGCTCTTTATCCCATCCCTTCAAGATAAGCAATAGTACTAGGCAGGGGTGCCCGCTCTCCCCGTTGCTGTATGTCCTAGCCCTGGAACCCCTCTTACAAATTATTAGAGACCATCCAGCGGTTCGGGGTGTAGAGGTGGGAGGTTGAGTCACTAAAATAAGTGTGTTTGTGGATGACATTCTTCTCTACATATCCCAGCCTGCAACCTCTTTTCCACCGCTCATGGCACTCATACGGGAATACGGCCTACACTCTTATTACTCCATTTATAACACCAAGACACAAGCCCTAACAATAGGGATCCCAACACCAGAATGAGAGGACCTTCACAAACGATACCCCTTGGGGTGGTGGAGGGATAACATCAAATACCTGGGAGTGCTGGTCTCCAAACACACGGTGGAATTATATACGGGGAATAACATAAGAGTGTAGAACGAATGCAAACTCATTCTCCAACGTTGAAGTCCACTGGGCGGAAAGGATAGTGGCATTCAAGATGTCTATTCTACCCAAACTACAGTATTTCTTCCAAACACTTCCCCTACCACTACCCTTAGCTTACTTCAAAGCTGTCCACAAAGATATCTTCATCTGGGCTGGCTCCAGACCTAGAGTAGCCATGAAGGTGCTCCAAGCTCCAACAAAAGAGGGAGGCCTTGCAGTCCCCAATATAAAAGCCTACTACCACGCCTCCATACTGGCCTCGGTGCTGCCCCATTTTCTCGGTGGCCCCCAGCCCCAATAGGTGGCCATTGAGAATGACTGGATATGACCCTTCGACCTCCCCAGCATGTTATGGCTACCTAAACAGCTTAGACCACTCTTACCACCAGTGCCGCCTCAGATCACCTTGACTCTCCAGGTTTGGGATACCCACAGATCTAGCCTGAGCTCTTTGGGCCCATTCTCCCTGGCTACCCCCATCGAAGCCCTCCCATACTGCATCCCCATCTTCCACAACAAACCTTAGCAGGCTGATAAATTGATGCACTTATACCACATATACGTAAGGGGGAAGCTGATAGACTTCCAAACCCTACAAACAACCCATGGTCTACCAGACACCTCACAATTCTCCTACCTACAATTAAGATCCTTCCTAACCCGAAGGCGACTTCTTGCCTCTCCGCCACACAATACTGAACACCCACTCACTACATGGGAAGATATGTATCAACAAAACGCTCCCACCTCTGTGTAAGCCTATCTCCATGTGTTACAAGGCTATATTAGACTACCTCCCATTCCACAAATCTCCACCCGCCCGGCAATGGACTGCAGATTTGAGAACCGAAGTCTCCCAAAAACAATGGGGTCACCTGTTTGCCACGACCAAATCCCTAATTAAGTCTGCTACCCTACTGGAACAGCAGCGGAAACTGATTTACAGATAGTATATGGTGCCAACGTGCATCCACAAGATCTACCCAGATAGTTCACCACCATGTTTGAGATGTAACGAGCAAGAACAGACGGTACTACACATTTGGTGCCAGTGTCCGACTCTCCAACCGTTCTGGCGGGAGGTCCACAATTTACTGCTGTCTCTGACAGCAAAAAACCTCCCCTTCCACCCAGCTACATACCTAGCCATGCTCCTCCAGGAGGATTTACCTAAATTTCTACAAAAGCTCATGTACCATGTCCTATTGTCTGCCCACAGACTGATAGCCAAAGCATGGAAATCCCAGCACTGCCCAGCTGTGTCCACCCTACTGACGGACATAGACAAGCAATGCAAGTATGAGCATTGTTTTCGCAGACTATGGCCCCCCTCCAAAGCTACCGAAAGGGCATGGGACACATGGAGATTGGCACGCTCTGCAAGCCAGAGCGACCCGATTGTAACTGTAACCATATCAGCAGGGACATGAGTAGACGGGCCATGCACAAGCCCAATAGACCTGAGATAAGACCCATGAGAGGTTATGCTGTATGCACGAAACGGAACGTCATTGAAGCATATGAAATGTCGAATATGTGATTTCTGTATACCCCCTCCTTTTTTTCTCTTCTGTACCCCCTCCCCATCTCCTTCCTTTTTTTTCGCAGAAAAGACAAAATAAAAATTGTCCAATTTAAAAAAAAGTCTATCATATGTAAAAAAAATTGATTTAGTGTTGAACTGTATCTAATTATAATGGGGGGATACCCCTTCTCACTTCCAGGTTTCCCTTTCCTCCCTTACCCCTAACATAATGTTTATATAATTTGTTAAAATGTTTATAAAACTTTAATAAAAATTATTTAAAAAGAAAAATAACTTTCTTCTACATTTAGTGGAATTTATAGATAAATCTATAGCAGCAGCTCCCTCTTGTGTTTGGGATGAGAACTAATTTTACTTTTACGCAAATGGCCTTTCCCACCACAAAGTGAAACAGAAAATAGGGGAAGGCTAAATGACCCTCGCCTTAAAGCCTCCTGCAGAGTTATGCACAAGAAAAGGGGTAGGCGACCTTTGACACTCCAGATATTGTGGACTACACCTTCCTGATGCTTTGGCAGCATTATGGCTGTTAGAGCATTATGGGAGATGTAGTCCACAACAATTGTCAACGATTGCCTACTCCTGTGTGACTAGAATGTGAATTGTTGTAAATTCAAAGTGAATTTCAAATTTGAGTCCAAATTGGCCGAACTTAAAATATAGCTGGCTCTCACAGGGTTATTCATTAAAGTGAGAATTGTCCGGCATTCGCTTCTAACTCAGCTGATTTGGCCTTAAAGGGACACTGGTTTATCCTGGTTTTGTGCTGCCCTAGGCAGGACAAAACTCAGACGTCCCCTACTCAACCCTTCCCCGCCTTCTAAATACACACACATTCACTGACAGATACACATACACTAGCTAATAGACATACACATTCACTAACAGACAAACAGACACTCACACTAACAGACAAACACACTCACACTCACTAACAGACACACTCACACACACTAACAGACACACTCACACACACTAACAGACAAACACACTCACACTCACTAACAGACTCACTTTACATTAGGCAGAGCTGAGCCATCCCTGAGGGACCCAGGCAAGTGACAGAAGAGTTTTTTTAACCCAATTTGCACATTTTGAATTGACTTTGAATTCAGAATTGATTGCATAACCTTGATAGGGATCTAAGGCTAAACATTTGCAATATTTGGTCTGCTTACACAAATTCACTTCTTGAAATATTGTCTTTGACCTTCCAAAAAGTAACTAAAATCCTAGACCTGAGGTATTTTAACAATTAGGACTAAGTGAATCATTTTCAAGTTATTTTTTTTTCTTTTAGTTGCATAGAAATTATGTATAATCAAAACCGCAAAGAAAAACATACATTATTCATATTTTTTTTAAATATTTTATTCCTACTTATTATATATACACAGTGGGCATTGGAAGAAATCCCTATCTGTCCTTCAAAAATGATATATAAACTGTATGGGTACATGTAAATAGAAAGCATTAAATTACAGTGGAATTAACATATAGGAAAAGTTCTAGAAAGCTCTGTCACAAACAGAATCTTGGAAAGGCCACGGCTATGAAAGGGTTAAACCCCTTTACTCTGTGTTAGCTGCAGCTATGCCTCTCTCCTTGCATTGTGACTTCATTAATTATCTGCTTTGTGCAGCAGTTATGATGTCATGATGCTACAGGTGACATCACTCCTAGTCTGTCCTTTTCACTTCATTCATTCAGAAAGTTTGTGGCAGACAGTGCAGCCATGAAGACTGTCCTGTTTTTATTTTATTTTCATTATTAGTTTCATCCTCTGGATATCTGAAACCATCGATTCTAGAAGTAAGTATATCCTACACACAGATAGCTGTGATTTACCCCATATTCCTAGAATAACTTCATTCCTATCACCCGTCTTCTAACCTGATATCTGGGTTTATACACCAGCCCTGTACACTGTGTAGTAATGTGGGCCGGGGAGGAAATCTGTTCTAAATCTCTGATACTAAACTCTGCGCCCCCTGGCTGATCTATGATTAAACTGGCTAACGGCAACAAAGTATTTCGTCACATGTTAGCATTTCATTATACAGAAACTGTAATATCTCAACAAACAGTGAGCAAAGCTGAACCGAGGGTTCTTGGCTGCAGTGGAGAAACTGCATTTTGCTCCCTCACCTTTGGCATTACAGCCAAATTAAGCGTTAGACTAGCACTCACCTAAAAGATTTGCCACAATGTTGGCAGGTGAGCTAACACTTTATGGACATTCAGTTCTACTAAAAAGTTCTGCTGTTTAAAAGTGAACATTGGGATTTGGGTAAATGTTCTAACTTTATTGATGTTGATTTTAGTAGAACAATGTGATTGTATTATACTTTAATGAAGTGGGCATTTATAACAAGTCTTAATAACCTTAACTAAATTCCCTTTTTGTAGAACTGATCAAAGTTCTTTCAATTGGCAGTATACCATGCTTACTTCATGAGCAAGGAAGGTATGGTAATGGTATAAAACCTATCCATAGACTTTGCACATAGTATATTGCAAATACAGTATATATAAATTATTGTCTGAAAAGCTCATTTTGAATCAACAGATGCATTAGAACTTTTTTCTTGTATAACAGACTATTAAGAACACACTTTAAGACACTTTCACTTTCAGATTTTTTTAGTCCATGAAAACCAACTTCTGCCGGTGGGTCTAAATGGTGGTTGGAAGAATGCACAGCCTGGTGATTGGCCGTCAAGGGAACCAGGAGCCGGTTGAAGATGGAAGAAGACTTACATGTGGAGTCATAACCTGAGTAAACTTTGGGGTCTAAAAGCTACTAATCGAGTAAGACTTTTAAGCTTTTTAGGGTTTGGGGCTAGTTAATTCAATAACGCATGAACCATTTTGGCAGAATAATGTTCAGTGAATGGTGAATATATTTGAATTACAGAGATATTGTACCCAATAAATTTCTCCACATGAAGATACACAGCCTGGTCACTGACCATGGATGGATCCAGGAGTCAGTTTAAGATGGAAGAAGACACGTATGTGGAACCATCACCTGAGTAAACTTTAAGGTCTGACAGCTACTTACTGAGTAAGAATTTTAAGCTTTTATGGTCTGGGGCTAATTAATTCAATCACACGTGGATCATATTGGCTAAAGAACACTCACTAAAACATGTTTATATTTGAATTGCAGAGTCATCAATAACCTTCTGCACAAAAAAAATAAAAAAAATAATTACAATTAAAAATCTAATTTGGAAAAAAAAAAAAAAAGTAATCCCAGCCTGGAGCCGGTAAAAGATGAAATATCGGAGTCGGTAAAAGATGAAATAAGACACGTATGTAAAGCTAGGTAAGAGTTTGACAATTTTACATTTTGGGCCAATCAGAGCTGGCGCTGAGGGACCTCAGTGCTGGAATAAGGTAAGTGGTTGAAAGGTTATTTAACCCTTTCATTGCCGCAAGGGTGGCTGCGAGGGCTTTGTATTCCTAACACTATAATGTTCCATTAACATATTCTGCAATGGAAATAAAACATACAAATAAATGAAGCTAATCAAAATTTGGTATTGAGGAAACACATAAGGTTATGAAGGCCGATCTAGCTTACATAATACAGTGAATGGATTTTGTGGCAACATGTAGTATATTCTGCTGGTGAGATATATACTGGCAGTTTAAAATGACACCTTAAAAAATAGAAACATGTTTTGCTTTGTCAGAATAGGAGTTGAATATACCGTATATACTCGAGTATAAGCCGAGTTTTTCGGCACATTTTTTGTGCTGAAAAACCCCAACTCGGCTTATACTCGAGTCAGTCTGTATTATGGCAATTTACATTGCCATAATACAGACTGGGGGCTGGCAGAGCTGTTACTTACCCCTGCTGCAGCTCCTGTCAGCTCCCTCCTCTCTCTCCTCCTCCGCGCCGGTCCGTGCAGCACCTCGGTCAGCTCCCAGTGTAAGTCTCGCGAGAGCCGCGGGGTCATAGTGCGGCTCTCGCGAGACTTACAGTGTGAGCTGAGAGAAGAGCTGCACGGACCGGCGCGGAGGAGGAGAGAGCTGACAGGAGCTGCAGGAGAGGTAAGTAACAGCTCTGCCAGCCCCCCTCCTCCCCCCACTGAACTGCCAATGCCACTGGACCACCAGGGAAGGAGAGCCCCCCTCCCTGCCATGTATCAAGCAGGGAGGGGGGACAAAAAATAAATAAATAATATATATAATAATTAATAATAAAAAAAAAAAATAATAATATAACAAAACAAATTAAAATAATATTAAATTTTTTTTTTATAAAAATGCCCACCCCCCCACCAAGGCTCTGCAACACAAACACACACTGCATCACACACACACTGCACTCATATACACACACTGCATTCACACACACACTGCACTCACTCATATACACACACTGCACTCATATACACACACTGCACTCATATACAC